GTGTCCAGATCACCAAGCAAGGTATTTGCTTTGGGACTAAATATACTTATCTCAGTAATAAATGAGTTTGGCATGTGGATCTTCAGCAGAAGCAGCTTCATATTTATTTCAGGATTCTGTCAATTTACAACTTTTAAGCTACAGTTTGGTCTGCAGCTTCATCCTGGTACCCAAGAGGCAGAGGCAAGCAGAGCTCTGTGAGTTGAGGCCAGCTGTGTCGAAAGAGTGGTGGCGGTGGCAGTGGTGGGGTTTGGAGGGATGGCTCAGTAATTAAGAGCACTTGTTGCTCCTGCAGTACTGGGTTTGGTTCCCACACACATGGTGGCTCACAGTCGTCCATAGCTCTATTTGCACGAGATCCAGGTACCTCTTTTGATCTCTGCTGGCACCAGGCATGTACACGATGTATATGAATATACACATAAAACATTCATACGCATAAATTAAATAAGTAAATGTAAAGTAATTTAAAGCAATCTTTTACTATAAATATATTTTTATCATGGAATATGAATTCCTTGATTCAAATTTTACCTCTTGTATATGACCACATTTAAATGTTTGGCTTTAAAGCCAAACATAATAAGAACTTATTTATGTTGGTGTGGTAACGTAGTTAAGTTTTCTGTTGCTCAACTCAGATTTGTGGTCTGGAGTTTCACGTAGATAAAAATGTTTGGAGCATACATAAAGCCTAGGAACAGAAGCAAGCTTAGTCAGCCCTTGTAATTCTGACTTGACTGTGGATGTTTAACACAGTTTTGATAGATATTTTCTTTTTTGGTGTGTGTGTATGTGCACTCGTTAAAGCAAATGTTTGGAATTTTTTTTAAAGAACATCAGTAGCAATCATTAGTTCAGATAAACAATTCTATGTTGATGGATTTGTTGGTAATCCCTCATGCTACCACGTAGAATTGTCTACATAATCTTATCCATTGGAATACACAGGGTGTACCATCATATACCATATGAGTTTCTTTTTTAAATTTGGAACATTCCTGTGACATAAGCACTAAGAGGAGAAGAATGTCTTACAAAGTAGAGTCAATGTGTGATTGCCAGACAAATGCTCCCTGCTGAGCTTTGGATAGATGTCATCAGATACTATCATTTCCAAGGGCTGTAGTACTCTCTTTTTCAATACAATGATCATGGGGAACTGACTGATTCAATCTGCTTCAAATGTAGTTATATTTCCCCCCACAGTTTTGTCCTTGTTTCATAAAAAAAATAATGTGTGTAAGTTTGGGGAATGAAATGGTCTCCACTAGAACACAGTGCTGTATCATGCCTTCTCTAATTCCTTCGGACAAATCTGAGTTTGATTTCAATAAGCTAAGTCCCTTATGTTGATAGTTTTGTTTTCTGTATATAGTCATTCATTAATGGACTCTTTTTGTTTTTTATTATCATATATTAATTGTGCATAATAACAGATCCCAGTCTGGCATTTTCATACTTGTAGATGGTGTATTTTGATCAGTCCTGTTTGCCCATTCCTTTCCTGAGTCCTCTCCAGCTTTGATTTCAATCCCCCTCCTGACATCCAAGTCTCTCCTTCTACTTTTATCTTTTTACAAAAGCTTTATTTTATTTTTGCTTACATGTGTGTATACATCTGTGTGAGAGTGTGGGCATGGGCGTAGTGACTGCAAAGGCCAGATGAGACTGCTGGAGGCCCTGTCGTTGAAGTTACAGGCAACTGTGAGCCATTCAACATGGTTGAGGGAACTGAACTTCACAAAACCACCAAAACATTCTAAACCACTTGGGCAACTCTCCAGCCCCCTTTCAGGTACTTTTTTCCCCCCAATGACTGAATGAGTTCCATTAGGGTATTGGGACTGCTTATGGGAACATTGGTAAGAGTTTGTTTACAGTGTCCTGGGCATTTCACCAGTCGCTACACGAATGAAAAAAATGGAGAAGCATCCACAGCAGTCTGCACAAATGCTGGCAGGAAGTAAGACAGAAGAAAGCGAAATTATGAATCCAAATCACTTTCATTTGCCTCACTTAAAGAAAGGGCTTCTCACTTTCTCTGGACATAGGCTTTTGTTAGGAATAAAATAATGATATTTTAAGAAAACAGACTTGACCATGTTAAGTCATGCTAGTGCTGGTCAGATAGCCCCAAATCACCATTCCAGCAAGCTTTGGAGCACAGGAATGGCTTTGTCTCATCCCTTTATTTACTAATCACAGAGCCTGATGTACAGGTAGGCAGAGGCTCCTTGGCTTCCTAAATCACCCACTTTGGTGGGGAATAGACACAAGATTCTTTTGGAAGACAAAGGCAAGAAATGTTGTGTGTCTTTGTCAGGAGTCATTTCAGAGCTGTCTCTCATCTGGCTTTGAAACTCAAATATCTCAGTGCCTCAGTTCTCCAGTATCATATCTGGATGGTCATGACCTCCTCCCACCAATCCAAGCCTTGCTCTCTCTTAGATCCCCAACTTCTGAATACTTATAATAGAATCATGTTATACTTATAATTAGAATACTTATAATTAGAATCATGTCAATTTCTCTAAAGAAGTTTCTATACCCTAACACCTATTTTTTTTTTGTTTTACAAGTAGTCTTTTCCATTACATTTTTTTATTGATTTTTTGTGGATTTCACACCATGCATCCTGATCCCATTCATCTCCCCATCCCTTCCTATCTGCCCTCTGCCCTTGCAACTCCCCCAAATAAAATAAAATAAATAAAAAAAGTTAAAAGAAAAAAATCTCATTGTGGGAGCTATAGTACGACGCTGTGAGCCACACAGTTACACTTTAGTCCATACATCTCTTACTTAACAAGTGTTCATTGCAATGAGTCATTGAACTGGTTCAAGGCCTCTGGCTTCTGCTACACTATTGATAATGGGTCCTTGCTGGGACTCCCTTTGGATAACCTGTTATTTCCCAGTGTCGTAGAAATCCTGAAGCATTGTATCTGCAGGACTGGCCCCTTCACATGCTCCAGCAGTTACTAGATGGGGTGGATGTTGGGGTGGGTCAATTCATAGCCCTGGTTCTGGGTCTGGGTGGTAGCTGAGTTGGTTAGTCCACCAGTACTCCCTCATCCTCACCTCCAGGGCGAGTTCTCCAGCATTGCTCTGGCTAGCTCAACCAATGCAGCAGGCAGCAGTAGGTGGAAATAGTTCCTTTGCTTGCATGTCCTCAGTCAGGCTCGCCTGCACCCATACCACCAGGACCAACAGAACTGCGTTGCCCAGGTGATGTAGAGGGTCACTCTTCAGAGTGCTGCAACTGATGAGGGGCAAGGCCAGCTCTCCCACTGTCAAACCCCCAAGGTCAGGTCTCCCACCTGGTGCAGGTGGTGAGGGGCAAGGAGGAGGAGGGCATCTTTACATAGCCCATGCCATCACATGGCAGATGAGGGGCAGTACCAGCTCTCCAGTTCTCATGACCTCAGGACCATCTCTCCCACCTGCCATAGGCGGCAAGGAGAAGGTGGGGTTGATGAGGGCATCTCTCCTGGGTCCATGCCACTACAAGGCAGATGAGGGGCTGGACCAGCTCTCTCATGCTCGTGTTCTCAGGGCTGGCTCATCTGCACCCCGTCAGTGGCATCAGCTAGATTGCTAACACAAGTTTTAAAATTTATAAGTCTAGCCCTTGTATGTATTATTTTTATCTTTTTGCACTAAAATTTTAACAATGAAACAAATGATTGGGAAAATTTTAAATTACTGTTGACAGTAATTACGAAATGCCTAAGAGATTGTGTATTGTAGCAGATTATGTTTTGTTTTCACATTATCCCATATTATTCTAAGTAATTAAGATTTTGAAAAATCAATAAACAGAGAAAGAAACTTAAGTCCATCAAATAACAGCAAATGCCACTAAATGAATCCTTTTTTGTAGCTAACTCATTGGGGAAGCTGTGGCAGCCACTCGGAGACCGTGTCAGACAGCACACTAAGTCATATCATGTTACAATATACTTGAAATTTACTGTTCTAAATCCTTCAGCATTTTTTTTTTACTGTTCTCAGGAGATCAATATCTTTTATTTCATTTGGTAGAAAGGTAGCTAAAAGGGAGAACTGGTCTCCTCTTCACCCTGAGTGAGATGAGACAGAGGTCTTTAGACTTTATGTTTTGCTAGAACAATCATTCATGTAAAAGCCTACAAGTCGAAGAAAATATTTCATTCACAGAAGTAAATGAGTAAATAAATATCCCTTATCTGGGGGAGTCACTTTGGAATTGCTCTTTCTTGTGGTACACTTTGTGGTAAGGTGGAGGGGGCTGTTCTGGTACATGTCTCACAGAAGAATGAGTCCCGCTTCCTGTGTGTTTTCCAAAGACGGAAGAAGGATTTTGAATTTTTTTTTTCTGTAAAAGAATGAGCACCATTAGATGACTTATCTTTAAGGTGATTGACATAGGGCAGTGAACACAACACATCACTTCACACAATCAAAGTGTCACATGATGAACACAAATGATGCTTTTATGGCTCAGCTAAAAATAAATTTGGTTTAAATCAAAAAAAGAACTGGCTTATTTATTTGTTGCCGAAACTGCCACCAATAAGGTCCTGTGTTACAGACCCCAGTCCTCCTCCTCTTTCCTCTGTGGCTAGGATAATGTTACCAGCACCTTCGCTTGGGACTGTCAGGCTTCCGTAGCATCTTTTAAATTCCTGGATGAAACCTATGTTCTGGCGCTCGATGAGTATTGGCAATCACTTTACAACCTTTATTTTTTAAAAACATTTTTGGATAGTCTTTCCATTTAGGGTCCAGGAATTTGTATAAAACCAGACAGTTATATTGCATTTGAACTAAAAGGCTATTGGTTTGTGGAATTTCCTTTAACTGGAAACACAGATGGGTCTGTGGTTTTAGCGTTTTCACAGTTTTATACTATCCAGTTTGTTTTCATTTTAAAAGGTGGAGAATTTATCATTAATTTCCATATTTTATAAAGAGCTAACATTTTTTCTTTCTTCATTCCTTTAATTTTTTTTCAGTTGAAAGAGACAAGGACTTTTCTCATCAGAGAAGGCATTACAAAGAGTTTCGGTTTGATCTGACCCAGATCCCGCATGGAGAAGCAGTGACAGCGGCTGAATTCCGGATATATAAGGACAAGAGTCACCAGCGATTTGAAAACGAGACCATTAAGATCAGCATATATCAGATCATCAAGGAATACACAAATAGGTATCAACTTTATGTTAATTGTTTATCCTAGCAAACAAAAAGACTGAGTTTTAGTTTTAAAGCCACTGAGAACCTATATGTTCTCAATGTTTTCTTGGGTGAAGGGAGATACTGAGCCTGGCAGAGGCCCATTGGGAAGGAAGAGTAAGGAGCTGGTGAGATGGCTCAGCAGTTAAGAGCTTCAGTCTTGTAGAGGACCATGATGTGCCTCCCAGCACCCATATCAGGCAGTCACAACCACCTTTAACTCCAGCTCTGGGGGATCTGAACCTTTCTCCTGACCTCCTTTGGCATCTGATACACATGTGCATGCAAACACACAGACAGACACACATATACATGAATGAAATTTGAAACTAAGTCTAAAAAACAAAAAACAAAAAATATTAAAAATTTCTCCTACATTTTACATATTTTCTATTATTGTCATGGGTAGCAAAACAGTATTACAACTCTATATAGTCTTTCTTGGGCTTTTATTTCATTTTGTAAATTTGTCTTTCAGTGCAGAAAATTTGCATTTTATTCCATCTACTTAAAACTTTCATAGAAAATTATTTAAATAATGTAGTACCCTTGTAGTCAGTGAAGGGTGGATTTTCTAGGGAGGGGTGGGATATTATGCAATTAGTTATGCGACTTTTGAAGAAAGAAAGTTCTGTTTATGTTAGAATCTGACAGCCAGCCAGTATATATTCTGTCTAAGGATATTGAGAACTGTGTGCAAACAGATGATAGACTGAAACATTAAATATGTGAAAATGTCACTGATAACGGAAGGCAAATGAATAATCAAGAATGAACTATAGAGGGGCCTTAGGCATGCTTTCTGACCTTTAATTTAACACAGAAGTCACTTGGGTAACACCTTTAATCGATGATTAGTTAGTTATCTTTGTTGGATAATTGACATGTTATAGCAAGATGCTCTTCATCTGCCAGTAGTTTCTTTCTCATGAGACCAAACCTGTTTTACTGTAAACTACTATATCCTTTGGTGAGGCAAATGCTTAAGGGTCAGTGTCTTGTTCCTTTTTACCTTGATAACTAGAGTTCCATAATGTTTAGGTTTTTCTTGGTATTCCTCTGTAATATTTTCCCAAAGAACATTCCATTAGTCTCTTACCATACTCAGTGAAAATGAAAAGCTGATGTCACATACCTCTGTTAGACAGCCTGGAGAAGGCTCATAATACAAAAAGTCTTAGGCAGGCTCATGGTTAAAAAGCCTATTAATTTTCTTTTAACTGATCTTCTTTAAAATTATTAGTTAATGGAATTTTTGAAGTGTAGCACTTATTACTATTCCAAGGAACACTAATTAAGGAGAATTGATTTTAATAAATATTACTCTATATGCATTCCTAATTTATATCTTATTTTTTATTGTTTTTATTGCTCTCTATATTTTTCTCTGCTCTCCTCCCTCCATCTCCCCTCTCCTTCTACCCTCTATCATGGTCCCCATGCTCCCAATTTACTCAGAAGATCTCTTTTTACTTCCCATGTAGATTAGATCCCAAAGAGGATCTTGTCTAGGTTTTCTGGGATTATGAATTGTAGGCTGTTTTTTTTTTTGCTTTATGTCTACAAGCCACTTATGAGTGAGTACATGTGATATTTGTCTTTCTGGATCTGGGTTACTTCACTCAATATGATGTTTTCTAGCTCCATCCATTTGTCTGCAAATTTTAAGATGTTATTTTTTTCTACTGTGTAATACTCTATTGTGTAAATGTACCACATTTTTCTTTTCCATTCTTTTGTCGAGGGCATTTAGGTTGTTTCCATGTTCTGGCTATGACAAACAAATGCATTGCTAATTCTAAGAGAACTAATAAGAAATCAGAAAGATCCATGTCATTTTCTTAACCTTAGTAATTGTTGGCCATGGGTGAAAAAAATATATATCTTACTATAGTGCTGCTTTTGATCATTGATTTTTTTTTGTTCTTTTTTTTTTTTTTTTTTTTTAAATAATTTTTTTTATTAAGAAAAGAAGAAAAAAAACATAAACAAAAAACAAGTTTCCACCTCCTCCCAGCCTCCCATTTCCCTCCCCCTCCTCCCACCCTTCTCCCCCTCCTCCCACCCTTCTCCCCCTCCCCCCACTCCTCTCCCCCTCCCTCTCCAGTCCACAGAGCAGTCCAGGTTCCCTGCCCTGTGGTAAGTCCTAGGTCCTTCCCCCTCCGTCCATATCTAGGAAGGTGAACATCCAAACTGGCTAGGCTTCCACAAAGCCAGCACATTAAGTAGGATCAAAACCCCGTGCCATTGTCCTTGGCGTCTCATCAGCCCTCATTGTTCGCCATGTTCAGAGAGTCCGGTTGAAGGGTCATTACCAAACTCCTTTTATGAAGCCACAATTACTCTGATACCAAAACCACTCAAAGACTCAACCAGGAAAGAGAACTACAGGCCAATCTCACTCATGAATATCGACGCAAAAATCCTCAACAAAATACTGGCAAATCGAATCCAAGAACACATCCGAAAAATTATCCATTATGATCAAGTAGGCTTCATTCCTGAGATGCAGGGCTGGTTCAACATACGAAAATCTATCAATGTAATCCAGCATATAAATAAACTGAAAGAAAAAAACCATATGATCATTTCATTAGATGCTGAAAAAGCATTTGACAAAATTCAACATCCATTTATGTTAAAAGTCTTGGAGAGATTAGGGATACAAGGGTCATACCTAAATATAATAAAAGCTATATACAGCAAGCCGACAGCTAACATCAAATTAAACGGAGAGAAACTCAAAGCCATCCCACTTAACTCAGGAACACGACAAGGCTGTCCACTCTCCCCATACCTCTTCAATATAGTGCTTGAAGTTCTAGCAATAGCAATAAGACAACATAATGGAATCAAGGGGATTCGAATTGGAAAGGAAGAAGTTAAACTTTCGTTATTTGCAGATGATATGATAGTGTACATAAGCGACCCCAAAAACTCCACCAAAGAACTCCTACAGCTGATAAACAGCTTTAGTAATGTGGCAGGATACAAGATCAACTCCAAAAAATCAGTTGCCCTCTTATACACAAAGGATATGGAAGCAGAGAGGGAAATCAGAGAAGCTTCACCATTCACAATAGCCAAAAACAGCATAAAATATCTTGGGGTACATCTAACCAAGGAAGTGAAAGATCTATTTGACAAGAACTTTAAGGCATTGAAGAAAGAAATTGAAGAGGATACCAAAAAATGGATGGACCTCCCTTGCTCTTGGATTGGTAGGATCAACATAGTAAAAATGGCAATTCTACCAAAGGCTATTTATAGATTCAATGCAATCCCCATCAAGATCCCATCAAAATTCTTCACAGATCTGGAGAGGACAATAATCAACTTTATATGGAAAAACAAAAAACCCAGGATAGCCAAAACAATCCTATACAATAAAGGATCTTCTGGAGGCATTACCATCCCTGACTTCAAACTCTATTACAGAGCTACAGTAATGAAAACAGTGTGGTACTGGCATAAAAACAGAGAAGTCGACCAATGGAATCGTATAGAAGACCCGGATTTTATCCCACAAACCTATGAACACCTGATTTTCGATAAAGGAGCTAAAAGTATAAAATGGAAGAAAGAAAGCATCTTCAACAAATGGTGCTGGCACAACTGGATGCCATCTTGTAGAAGAATGAAAATAGACCCTTATCTATCACCGTGCACAAAACTCAAGTCCAAATGGATTAAAGACCTCAATATCAGCCCGAACTCACTGAACCTGATAGAAGAGAAAGTGGGAAGTACCCTACAGGAGCTGGGCACAGGAGATCGCTTCCTATGTATAACCCCAGAAGCACAGACATTAAGGGCAACATTGAATAAATGGGACCTACTTAAACTGAGAAGCTTCTGTAAAGCAAAGGACATAGTCAATAAGACACAAAGGCAACCTACTGATTGGGAGAAGATCTTTTTGTTCTTTTTGAGACAATGTCTTGTCAAGGCTAGTTAGAACTTACAGATCTATGTCTGCCTAACAAGTAGTAGGATTTCAGGTGTGGCCCATGACATCCAACCCGTGGTTCTACTCACAAAATTAAGGCACAGGGCCAGTATGTGCCCTACAAAATATCTGTTTGGTACTAAGTAAGGGTAGCATACTTTAAAGCTAAGTGAAATTTGAAAATAGTATTTTGAGCATTAGTTAATATTTCTACAACTATATAATTTCTTTTTACTTGTAGCTGTTTTTTCTACAGTGGAAGGAAGAGTATTGTAAACATTTGTTTTTATCATCAGAACTACTAACTTGTTTGATTTGCATTAATATTTTGACATTGTGATTATTTATGGTGGGGAGTCATGTATATTTAATATACATTAAGTTGTACTTTGTTATTTAATATCTCAAATCTTTTTCAAAATAATCATTTATATACCTGATCTTACTCATTTGGAATATTTTGATTGAATCTTAATTTAGACTTTTTTATTGGATAAAATAAAAAGACAACTTTTATTCAGGTCCTGTATAGTTTTGACCCCTCCATAGGTCAAAAGTACGATCTTTGGCAGGGGGATGTTGAGAGGTGCCCTAGGTCTTTAAGAGGCAATGGGGACTTTACCAGAGATCCTTATTCAATTGGGAGTATGGCCTAGAAGAGGAATGTGGGACCTTTACCCTGTGTTTTTCCCTGCACTGACTCTTGGCTGATGAGTAGTTGGTTCAGTCACAGGATCCTACCACGATGTATTCCTTCAGACAGGGCTCCAAAGGTCAATTTGACCAAGACTGACTGAAGCTGGTAAAATTACAAGTCTGAACAACTCTCTTTATTTATATGTTTATTATTTTAAGTATTTCATTATAGCAATGGAAAACTGACCAGCACATGTCAATTGTTCTTTTTCTTCAGGATAATTTTTCATGCACACATGAAGAGAGAGAGAGAGAGCAGGATAGAGAGAAACAACTTTATGTTACATATATGCTAAGAAGAATTCCCAACCACTCCTTAGTAAGAAGG